CAACCGGAGAGTCCGGCCTCCAGCTTTGCAACAGATTGGTGGCTAGAACTAGCGACTATGATTCTTTTTGCCTCGAGTTGCCCTTTGTTTGCTTGAAGTCTTGTCGGTGACGCTGTTTAGCCCCTAAGTCTAGCCGCTCATTAGCCGCTCTTGAATTGACAGAGGTGAGTGAGAGAGAGGCGATTTGATTCTACCTACTTTTGGTTCTTGATGCCCATTTTGGACTTGCACTGCGAGGTCAGATGCCTCAAACGAACTGGCGCACGGACGGCACTGGAGCGTGGACGTCTCAGTTTAAGTGTGGCAGCGGCCTTTACTGCGACATTTTCTACCGCCTGCATCTGCACATTTTACAGGAGAGTGTTTTGGTCGGAAGTAGAGAGGACTTCAATGTAGACAAAAAGCATGTTCAATAGGCAAGTCTCTGACGCTTGGACACAGAATGACATCAGAAACGTGGCATTCTGGAAGCAGCTAGCGGCAGCTAGTGCTACTGCAGGAACTGTAGTGTTTTGCAGCAGATCATTTCCTGTGAGTGGGTGCATGGTTGACTGTTGGCAACTTCAATGGGGTTTGGCTGTGGGTGGTGTCCGCCGTGGCACTGTGACTGTGGTTATGAGGCATGAGTTGTTTGAAGGTTTGTCACAAGCTGCCCTTTCCCAGAATGAAGCATTCTTTCATGTGAGACTGACGTGAACAATCCCCAAACCAGCCAACAATACCCACACTCAACATGTCGCCAGCTGAATACTCTCATACATGTCAATTTCAGCCCAACACATGGCAATCTCAACATTTACACGGCACATCATTGAACTAACTAGCTTGAACACTAGCACCTCAATGCATGGTTAGTTCCCGTTTTTCGAGCGGTGACTCGGCTAGTTCACGCATGGCTTGTTAAGCGTATTCAATTCAGCAAGCTAGTTGCGACAGAGCCACTCGAACGCTTAGCCCAACTCATACTTGCTGCTTAGCTAGCTCAAAGAGCTAGCTCAAACTCACCACAATTTGGCCACCCAACCGCTAGGTCCAAGCAAGTCACCACTCAGTGAAACAGGCTCATTGTCATACTTCATAGCGTTTCTGATGGGTTTGCTCCTGTCCCGCGCAGACAAAACAGGAGCTTCATCAACAAATCCTTTTTGGGCGGCTGTTCCTTCCGGACATCACTCTTGGCATGGGCGGTAAAGACCCAGGATCTCCGCTGTAGCTGGATAACCTGAGCTTCACTGGTTTGACTCTTGATGACCACCAATTACTGTAAAGGACGCGGCTGGCTTTCGTCCAGCATTTCTTTTTGTGAGCCTACTTACGTATCCCAGTGTACAGCGACCGGGTCGAAGTCGTTAGGCAAGGCGGCAAGGTGGGTATGGCAGCGAACCCTGATGCACTCCAAGATAGAGCCTATGGAATCTATTGTCCATTGAGAAAGGCTCTTGTCGGAAAGTGCTGAGCCTGTTGCTGGGCCTGGTGGCCCAGGTGGCCCGGGTGGCCTGGGTGGGTGTGTTTATACTTTCAGACTTTCGGGTCCTGGGCACATTGCTGGGCACATGATGTCCCAGTTGTTGCATTTTCTTAGAGCCCGCCCTTACTCAATTAAGTAGGTGCCTACTTAATTGTGTAAGGGAGTAAGCTCCTAGCAACTGGACGCAGGATAGCTCACGCTTCCTTGAAGAAGCGCTCACACTAATCATTTTTTGGTTCCTAGATTTTTAGGGAAACTTAAAGGTTGTTTGATTGTGCACGGCTCTGGGTTACTGATGGGCCGTAACAATTGCATGTCAGATGGCCGCGTGCTTCCTTTTGGATTCTTACTCATCCTGCTTGTTCTAGCCTGAAGCTGCCGCAGATTTACAGAAATGGTTGGCAGGTGCTCTGCTTAAAGTCCCCACCCACTCTCCAAGTGCAAGGTGGTGTGTGCATGCGTGGGTCTGTAATTGGTTGGAGCAGGGCAGCACATGCTTGTGCAGCTTACCCTGACCGACAAAAGGCGGAGCGCGCATTTGGTTTGGTGGGGAATGCTAGAACTTGTAATGGGGTAGGGTGTTGGGCAAACCCATGCAGCGCTTCCAACAGGAATGTGCAGTTGGATGTTCAGTGGCGAGGCTGATAAAGTTTGTTAGAGCGCTGCTTCTGCTGTTTTTGGCTTGGGTTTCGCCAGGCTTCGTTCCAGAGTCCAGACTGCCCTAAGCGTCTCACAAACCAAGCTTTGACACACACACACACACACACACTTAGATAAAGGCTCGCAAGAGCAGTATCAGTTATGCTCTCCCTGTGATGCTAGCACTTTACGTTACTGAGAGCTAGACCTTGACTTGCAAAACGGAAGGGTGGAGGAGTCCGCAAGAACAGTATTGTTTAACATGGGTGAGACGGAGGAAACTCATTAGCGCTTTAAGGATGGTTCAAAACAAATGTGCAGGTACGTCGGAGTGATCAGTTCCGATATCCTCCCAGCTCATGAGTAGCTTCGCCTGCTAGTGTGCAAACACGTTCCTTTGGAACAGGTGTTGACACACACACACAAAAAGCCGGAACGGCGCACTCTCTTTTTCCGCGGGAAGGGGAAGGGGGGAAATAAGGTGTGGGAGTGCGTTGACTAAACGGGCCTGGATGTCAACCTAACAAGCCTGAAAGAAAGAACAAGACAAACGAAGAAGGCAAGGAAAGAAAAGAAAGGTGCAAGGGGGTGCCGGGGGGGGGGTTTGTCAGCTCAGGCCCGAAGGCATCGGACAAAATGCCGATATCGGCGCACTCTTGACTAAAAGGCCTGGTTACACCTAAAAAATAGCCTTTAGCAAGAAAGAAGACCTAGAAAACGAAGAGCAACAGCAGGAGAAAAAGAACCAAACTAAACGGTGAATACTTGGCTGAACCTATAAATACTTAGCAGCAAGGAATACTTAGCAGCAAAGCCTACACCCTATGAATACCTAGCTGCATGGTATGTCATTTTTTGGAAATTGTTTCAGTGAGCCCTGCGGCATATGATCAGCAATCTCCAGCAGAACACTAGAGCCGACGAAGTCCACGAGCAGGCCGAGGAATCAGTGGAGGTTCACCCGTAAGGGTATGTGCATATGCTTCGCCCCTCGCTCGGGATCACACCGCAGCCCACAGTGGGACTCTGTGGCGAGACACACTTAGATAAAGGCTCGCAAGAGCAGTATCAGTTATGATCTCCCTGATGCTCGCACTTTACGTTACTGAGAGCTAGGCCTTGACTTGCAAAACGGAAGGGTGGAGGAGTCCGCAAGGACAGTATTGTTTAACATGGGTGAGACGGAGGAAATTCATTAGCGCTTTAAGGATGTTTAAAAAATGTGCAAGTACGTCGGAGTGATCAATTCCGATATCCTCCCAGCTCATGAGCCGCGTCCTTGGCAGTAGACTCATGAGTGGGCTACTGCCCCCTGCTAGTGTGCAAACACGTTCCTTTGGAACAGGTGTTGACACACACACACACTTTGCAGATTTGTGTGGAACTGCGTCATCGGTTTCCAGATGCCAACGTTTGGTTTTTGCATGTTTGGTCCGTCCTGGCCCTACAGTATCTCTTTGAAGGGTCTGCAATGGTGAAAACGCAGTCCTCAACACTTATAGAAACAATTGTCTATAACATTCTAGCGGCCTTCAGCACTTGCTGCTTGGGTGTGGATGCGTTTCACTTGCCGATGGCCGTATTGTAGCCTTCTCTGGTAGCATGATTTACAATAAATTTACGTGCCATCTGGGCGTCCATAGACGGTGTCGCGGAGGACCCCCCCGCTTTTGATTCGAAGGTTTTTTAACTCAGCTTGATGAGAGTGACTACAGGCAAGTGCTTTTGTCCAAAAGGGCACGAATGTGCCTTACAACTGGTGCTGTTCTAAGTGCAGTAGTGCCAGCAGTGTTTTTTGAAGACAATGGCACGAGTGTGCATAGTCACTCGTCCAAAGGTTTTACAGACAGCTTCAGCGTTGGCCTGGTCAAGCAACATCCTCAATAAACCAGTGTGGTGTTCTTTCTGGCACACGCTTCCTAGACGCTTTCATCCTCATCTCCTAGGCCAGTGCCATTCGGTCCATGGGGTGAGTCCAGAATGACCTTGAGACTCTCGAGACTAAAATCCCAGAGTGAGTGCTGCTCTTAGTTTTCGATGCCAAACCACTTCATGGATGTTGGGTTTGACATGCTTTAGCATGTGAGTGACAAAACAAAGAATGATAAGTGATAAGGGCCCCTTCAATAGATTCAATAGGATCCCTTTACAAGAGCCTTATTCAAGGAGTCTTTACCATCTGTCGGGCATTTCGCAGACTCGAGGACCTCCTTGAAGTACAAGGACAAACGAGACTAATTCGTGGAAGCTGGATTGCAATGCTAAGATTGCAGATCATTGCACTATGAACACAGATACATGATACATTGGTTAAACCTGTGGTGCACTGTTTGAGATGTGTTGAATAATTAAAGTCTTCAATTGCTTCTCAGCTTTGGTAGTATGTCCCATTCGACCCAAAGGGCGAGTGGGTTCTGAACAAGGTGTCAAGAAAAGAGTTTTGCACCCATTCAAGCATGTGACTTGATGCGCCAAACATCACGAACTATCCTCTGGATCTTGCAAAGCGCTTGGATCAGAGCTGACATTTGCATTTGCACAGAGCCCTTTGTAACAGGTTAAGCTAGCATTGACCAGTGTCCTCCAGGTTTGTGCGACAGATTATATACGTTGAGCATATAGGAAGACGGAGCGAAACTGACACAGCATTGGCAACACCATACCTATAGCCTATGCCTACAATGTCTATGGCAGAGAAGGAAACATCACATTAGCCAGCGGTTCGACATCTTGATGGGGCTGGGAATTGTACAATGCCACGACAGAAGCAAATAGTTGCCAGAATAGGCTTGTATTTTGACAACACATTACAGTGAGAGGAAGCAAGCTTTTTCTGTTTATTCAAGAAAAGGAGCGAAGGCCAGCGTCAAAAACCAGTTATAGAGGGATAACACCAAAGACCTTTGTCGATTCGATAACAAACCATGCTATCCACCTCCACCGATCCCTTCGATGTCGTCACAGCCTTGACGCAACTGAAGACTTGGGAGACTTGGGAGACCTGCTCATGATTGCTGTAGTTAGGGGGTTTTGGGGGCATTAGATAACTTTAAACATATCATGGTTACCTTAGCAGAAGACCTTCCAGCCAAGGCCCGGGATGAGGTGGAGGCTGCCATTCGGAAGGCCAAATTTGTTTCAACTCCACCTCCTTGTGCTTTTCCTTCTAGCTTGGATAGCTTGGTTTGTGAGGCGCGAAGCATGCACAAAGAGTTTTTGACTTGGAAGCGTTGAATCTTTATGAAGCTTAAAGCCTGGTTTGGCTTAGGTGGCAACGATTGCTGCAAGCAGAAAATACAGCGGAGAGTCGCAAGTTTCAGGCCTCCAACTCCGTACAGAAGGTCTTGGGATGCGATCGGACGTTCGCAAGTATCGATCGATGGGAGTTTGGGTAGGGTCAATCTTACATATTCTGATATGTTTGGTGCGAATTAGGGCCAGATTTGTAAGGACCTGCAAAAGGAGCTTGCAGCGGAGCTGTCCCAGCTGTCTCTTGACCTTGCAGAGGCTGACCTGGTTGCTTGTGGTTTGAACAATGTCTGACGATGTATGCCACAAGGTGGACGCAAGCATCAAGGCGTTGAAGAGCGGAGCAGTTCGCTTCTCATTATGACTTCTTTGGAAGTCAGTTCCCGTGTGAGGCAGTTGAAGACAACAGAGACCGCTTTCACCTAAGCGATGCTCAGCTGACAGCTCGCAAGGATTTGCAAAGAAGCTTTGATTCGACATGACAGCATAAGACAATGCAAGAAAAGAGTTTCAAGACTGACCCATCGTGCTTGGGGAGAAACGCCGGCAAATAAATTTCGATACACTGCACCTAGTTTCCGCTGAGCACGCCATGCAAAGCTTCTGTGAAATTTGAGGGCACACCACACTGACCATATCGACTTAATTTTATCCAGAGGTGGAAGCATTAGGAAGGAAAGCAAAGTGTGGCTGACCGGGTTTCCAAGACCGGGTTTCAAAGACCCAGAAAGAATGAGCATATGGCATAGGACATACATGGTAAACCAGGAAACCAGGAACCAATGAGAGATGCTCTATCTCGTTGGCCAAGCCGCGTGAGGGACATTGACATCGACCATGTAAGTGCAGATAGAATGGACACCTCAGGCTTTTGTTAGTTTTGCATGTTTGAACAGGGAATAAATAAGTTACTGCCGTGCTCCATGCTCATGCTTACTTTTGGATTTCAGTGCCACAGTCAGTCATGTCCAAGAAACACCCGCGCCATATTTTCTGCCTTCCAGGAGTTTCTGGCAGTCAGTGCTCGACTTACTTGATGAGAGCTCCTTGCTTTGGGTTCTCCCACTTGCAGTGCCAGGTGGTTAAGCAATTTCACACACTTTGCATTGAAGGGAAGGTGTTCATAAACCTCACTGTTTACCATGTGTATGTAGACACATGATGTATGCTGCCGCTAAACATTGTGCATTACTCCCATAACTTTATACTTTTGTGCTTGAGTGGAAGAGGTAGCCCTACTACCGTAGATCTACTGTAGTGACGCAACGATACACAATGCACACACAGGTTCATCGTCGTTTCTCATTGTACAAGCTCCATCCCTGCTTCATTGTTGCCCGTGTTCCGCAAAGGCCGATCATGATAGGACTTGTGGATTGTTGGGAACCAATGGAACCAAGGCCAAGCGGCACACCGGGAGATCCATGTGAGTTTGTCGAGTCCGGCAGCGAAAAACAAGATCGATGAGGCGAGCTTGGAAGATCAATGTCCGTCAGTGATGGACTTTACGCATTTGAGCGGTTAAGCTTGGAAGATCAATAGTCATGGTCCATTGATGCTCGTTTGAAGTTGGTCTTCAATGCTTGCAGTTTCTTTCGTTTATATAATCAAGGGTTTTCTTTGTGTTTTTTGATGGCTATTTATATTGTTGTGCTTTGTCTATTAGCAGAATGCATGCAATCGACCAATTTCGTTGTTGCCCCCAAGAATGCTTGTCAAGCAAACACTGACCAGGACCAAAAACAAATGCTTCTAAAGCGTCAGAAGCAAGCTGAGGAGACCCAACAAAGGCCTACAGTGGTACTTTCATAGAACCTTTCAAAGGCTTTTCCTTTTGCAAGTAGCGTGTATCTCAAGCTGCCAAAATCACGCTACCACTGGCAAGGCAATTGGCTCAAGAAAGCAAAGCCTTCTTGGAGGAGCAGAGGTTGTTGCAGAAGCAACTCATTGCTCAGCAAGAGGACGGCCAGACTTCCCTTGAAAAGGGATTGAAGCATGACATGTGGCCTTTTTGGCAGGATGAGCTTCAGATTCTGGAGCAAGGAGCGCAAAGACTCGGCCAGGCAGAGCCTACACTCAATCATAACATAACCGCATTGTTCATATTGTTCACATTGCCTTCTGTTTGTGAGACAGGTGGCGCACACCATCAATGGGGAGCTCGAAAGCCTGACGCTCGTGTTTCACTGCAGTTCAAAGAGTGCCTAGATTCGAGTCCACGGAGGTCAACAAAAGTTACTTGAGGAGCTTTGGACTTGGCTTTCTACATACTGGAGTTTAGAGTTTCGAACCAAAAGCTGAGGCTGAACCAGGACATTGAGAAAGAGGCAGCTCACCAATAAGACTTGCCAGACTGACTTCATTTTTTCGTAGGTATGAAGTATGAAGTGCCTGAAACGCATGCCTTGTCAGATGGAGCGAATGGATGTCGTGACGAAGGGTATGGGCACGCTGCTGAAGACAAGCAATAAGAGCAGCCTGCATGTCATTGTCGACAGCAGCTTGAGTGGGAGTTAATCTAGGCTACAGCAGTTGAGGGGCAAGCCTTGCATGACAATCGCTCAAGTCGGACAGCCAAAAGCACTATGCGCCAGGGCGCAAATCTACTCTGTGGGTGGTGCGATTGTACTTTTTGTTATCCTGGTTGCTTGGCATTGCAATGAGGTTCTTCACAGAGATACAATCATACCCAGATACCAATGCTCTAGATACTGCAGAATTATCAATTCAAACAACTTTCGCCGTATACCATTCAAGGTCTTCTTGATCCTGAACACTTGAGAGTGTGCAGCTTTGCTGTTCAAATTCTGTGACCTAAAGAGTTGAAACGCTTGCGGAAAAGAACCATGCAAGCTTGATGAATGAAGCTTTTATGCAGAAGAAAGTGCTGCTGTTCCGTTTGTCGCTGACTGTTTTGGAGACCCAAAGCAATATGCTTTGGGTGGCCAGATGAGCTGCTGCGGTTCACGGCGGAGCAGACTACCAAGCGAGTACTCTAGTACTCATGTCACACAATGCTGAAGAGAGTGAGAGGCATGTCATAGGAAATTAAGATGGTTTCTTCGGTCATGTCCAAAAGGCCTTCCCCACGATTGCAAATTTAAATATATATATATATAATCTCTTTGGAGAAACACTGCGATGAGATGACCCCAGCGCCAAGCCGATGGAGATTAATGAGCGGCTTACCGCAGACTATTCGCAGGATGTGGAGCTGCTTGTATCTCCCCTAGGATTCGTTCGTCGTCTGGTTTTCCGCTCGTGTCAGGAGTACCGCAAGAATATTCGCTGCATTTTTATTTCACTCTTCTTCAGCGTGTCCTTGACTCTTGGTTTGCATATTAGACGAGTTGTGGACTGGCAGGCTGGCTTTCTTGCCTCTGATACAAGGAGTGCTGTCACTTTGGGACCTCTCTTCGATGCTTACTTGCTGAACATTGGTGGGCAGTGTCTTGCCAGAAGTTGGTCCCAGTATGATCAAGTGCACCGGTGGCCCCCTGATCCTGCAGTTTCTCGCAGGGTAGCCTTGCCATTTGTGTTTCCGAGGCATGGCAACAAGCTGGTGGGCGCAGTGGAATCCACGTGCAGCACCCAAATCAAGATGGTAGTGTATAGTGTATAGTAAGGTATAGTATAGTATCTTCACATATCTTCACAATGACAAGACTACTCTTGTGCCCAATGTGAGGCGAGGAGTGTTGCAACTGGCATTTGCCTATCCTATTGGAGCCTTGCGTCTTGCTTTCAGTTGTGTCATATTGTGACAACTGACAATGGTGACAAATGCTTTTCGTCAAATCTGTATATATTGATGTTGACTTTTAACGGATGGCCTGGTTAGTGTTGGGGACAATTCTCTGTGCTCACTGCAATGCCAGTAAGGGTTCTTGCAGTGGGCAACGTTGAGTGGCTAGGTCTGACAAGATGTCTCGGGTTCGGCTTTTGAAGGGAGACCTCCTCTTTTGGACGCTTGGTTCCTTGTAAGCAGCTGTGCTTGTTGCTCTTCATGAGCTGCACACTACCTTCTTGTCAGCATGAGGTTTGTTCTTACTGTTGCTTGGGATTGCTTCGGGCAGTGTGCCGATGTTGTTCATTGGCATGGCTGTTTGGGCACCTTGCTCACAGTGCTGGAATAGCCTCTCCGAAGCAATGAAGGATGGAAGGCTCAAAAAGGCTTGAAACAAGAAAGGACGACAAAGGACGATTGGATTCGAGGTCCTTTGAGGTCCTTTTAGGTCTTGAGGCCTTTGATACATTTGAGACATGAGGCACTTCACAGGTTGTCATAGCAGATTCTGCAGCTTCAGCAGCCCGAACCACAGTGCTGACTCTTAGCCTTGATTGCGAATTTTGGAGCCCCGAAAGAACAGGCAAAAGAAAACTGCGGACCAAGGTGTTGTCAAGAATGACATCGCTGAGGCTGATTGCTCAGGCAACAGGCCCAATGCTGCAAGCTTGCATGCTTCTACTCTCTGGGCAGTTCCTTGGCTCATTCTTGCGCATTCTAGATTCTTCTGCCTAAAGCTTTAGTGCGAGGCCTCGCATTCATGCGCACCGTCCCTCAGGAACCATTGGGGTACCTCACTCTTGAAAGCTGTGACCCTTTCCGGTGCTGTTTTATGGCCCGGTGTGATGTGGACATTGAGAATGAGTGATGTACCACCTTTGGAGAAGACAGAAGGCAGCTTCGCTTTAAGCAAAGTTGCAAGCGATAGGCAGCGGAGCCTTTAAAAATCACCTGGCCAAGCCACTGTTCTTTTAACATTGAACATTTGGACCAGTTACCAGTTACTAGTTATCATTTGAGTGGAATGACCTCACAGGGCAATTGGCGAAGAAATTTGGTGCAAGAGAGTAATTATAGTTGCAAAATATGGTCGTTTGATCAGAAGTGTTGCCAAAAGCTGTTTTCGAATTCTACATCTATTTGGCTGCTACAGCACGCTTTCGTTGTTCCACACACGCACACATATTATATATGATATATGATATATACATACAGGCTCACCTCCCCTTGGCGATCACACACTTCCAACCTCGGGAGATTCGGCCTTTCCTGAAGCAAATTGCTAGGCAAGCTGCCTACCAGCTGGTTGACCATCGTACTCATATGGATTTCCATAAGCCTGCCGGTCTGATTGACCATTGGACCACTGCTGTTACTGCCCTTTTTTGGGCTAATTAAGCAACATGAGGATTTACAAGGGGTTTCTCTTCCTTCCACTCTGTTGTTGTCGGCTGTGTCCTAACCAATGATCGCCTTGCAGTGGCCGGTTGGGCTACGACCAGCCTGTGTAGGTTTTTGCCAATCCGCTAAGGAATGCATGGAGCACTTGGTTTACGAGTGTGGGGCCCTTCATGAGCTCACTGGTCCCCCTCAACTGCATGAGCTCTGTGCGAATTTTGCTTTGATGGGCATCATCGAGCAACCGTGGTTCTTGATTCGCAGGTGCCCTTTAGTGTCCGCGCCCCGGCCTCTCCTTTTTGATTTCCAACCTGCTGTCATGCGCATTGTGTTGAACCAGCTCCTGACACCCAGGGTGACATTGACCTTGCCAGCTGTCAGCGCATGTTTCCGGCATGGCGTTGGAACTGGCATGCTTGTCTGTTTGGGTGGAAGCCGAAGATTCCCCGCCATGTCAGCCAACCTGTGAAGTGGACTGGCTCATTGCGTGAGTGGCAGGCCATTTGTTGTTTTCTTCGAGGCCTCAGGTGGCAAGAAAGTCTTGACAGTGTTACCTCGCTTTGTGAGCTGACGGTACTTTTCCATCAACAGGGACGGTGCCTTGATGGGGATCCCCAGCCTGCAACGTATTTCGAGTACCGTAAGAAGATCCGTTGTGCTGTGAACCTTTTGGCCACGTGCGATGAGGCTCAAGTCTTTGCAGGCGCCTTCTCGACTACGTTGGCAAAAGCTGCCGGACGAACCATGCCATATAGGGTCAATCATTGGTGCCCAAGTGTGTCTGGGCAACGACTGTTTGCTGCGCTTGGCGCGAGTCTTTGCGCTCGGTGCAGGGAGGACACTTGCAACATGGATGACCCCTTTGATTTAGGTTGCTTTCTTTGGTCTCACTTTTTGGCGCTCTTTTTGTACACAGGTCAGGGTGCCTGGCGCAACGCCGGGCACGTTTCCCGTGCTGATCCCGGTGCGCATGGTGATACACATACAAAAATACTACAGTATATGTATGTATATATTTCTATTTAAGTAAAGTATTCCCTGTTCCTTTGGGGATGGGTTGCCGGCCCTCTTCTTGGCCCTTTGTCAGCGTGATATGATGCTGTTTTTTGCGATTCGAAAGATGACGCAGAACGACTAGGGGCTCCTGGCCTTACTACTAGGAGCAAGCGCAGCAAAGGGCATCGCTACTAGGAGCAAGGGCGCTAGTAGTATCGCAAGATACTCGAGCTGTCCGCATCTCTGAGCTGATTTCAGACAAGACGTGTTGATAGGGCGGGGTCTGGGTGTAGACAACCCGAGCATAACCGGTGTTTGCGAAGCAAGTCTTTAGGGGGTCTGGGGGGGCAGGCCGGGCAAAGTGGATGTCAAGCCTGTTGATATTTTAACTTTGCAAAGGAGGTATTTTTTTTTGTGAGTTGGTGACGCAGAAGATGCAAGGTAGTAAATGGGTGCATCACGTGCATGCCTCCCAGCTCCTACAACGACGTCGGAGACCCTGAGCCGTTTCCTACGTGGGGGTTATGTCAGTTCGGTCGTTTGCAGATGAGGAATGATAGGTCATCCTGTCTCTGCGCTGTCAGAGCTAAAAGCTTAACGAAGGCTGTCTGGAATGCCCCAAGGCCACTTACTTGGGATCCATGCTCCATGTCCCAAACCAGGGCTGGCAGGGGGTCTATCGACAACACAGACATACAGTTTACATTGTACATTTCGCAGAGGTATCAGGTATATAGCATAGAGGCATAGAACAATATTTTCGATAGAAGATGTTTACTAGCCCGAGCATCGGCTTTACTGCGGTCGTGCAGCTCTGACCCAGGTGAGAGCAGCAACTCCAGCACCTTTTCTCAAGTAGACCTTGACCACTGCTATTTGCGCATACCTTTGAGGCGTTGGACTGTAACGAAGAGCTAGAAACATCTGTGCCACACGGACGCCACGGCGCAGAGCGATGACTCCGGAAGCCGTTGTGACTTGTCCATTTTGGCAGAGTGGGCAGTAGGCCGCGAATGATGAGAAAGGCTGTGATTATGCCGCTGCAGGTGGTGGGTCGCAGGGATTATCGAACTTATGGCATTCATTACTCTTTTTGGTGCTGGAATGACGGCGTCCTGGACAGCAGCAAGAATTCAAAGTTGTGTTTCAGATGGTGACCATGGACAAGGCGCAGGTTTAACCCAGCTTGCAGCTTGATGCAGGCAAAAGATAGATCGTCTTGAGTTTCTTGATACTCCGAGGTGAAGTTCTTTCCGTTGTTCTTCCGCATAGACTACAAGTTCACACCGCTTGAGGTGTGCCGCCTGACTCCAACATATTGTCCAACTTCCACGTTCGGCCACAAGCGCCACTCCACTTGAACATCAAAGGTGTGCTTGGATTTGCCTATCCTTTTTGTATTTCTGTAATGGCTCGAACCTCAGTGGCCCTGCCACTATACAGGAATCACATCATTGAACGTCCGCAGACGTTGACATATTTAGCGCCTAGAAGGCGTAGTTTAACACCTCAGGTGGAGCTGTGCCGCATTCTCAGTCCTTGCTGCTTGCGCATATGCCTCATTTCAGGAGGCACAGTAAATAAGCACGGCGCAGAACTGAGGTCGGAGACTTTCCAAGCATTTAGGTCGGCTTTTTGCTGTCTCGCTTGGCGCTGAGCACTTTTGTCTTGCAAGCGCTGAAAGATGCGCCCTGGCAATAATGAATACACATGAAAATACAATGGTTCAATAATTACGAACGCAGGAAGAAATTGAACATCCGTATAAATGTCCAGCACACCTTCGGGTTCGCATTTTTAAAATTCGCGATAGCACGCGGGTTGTACGTAAGCTGTTTCCATGGCGCAGGTACACGCGCGCGCGAAGGCGTGTGATGGTTCAGATCAACCATCCGTGCAACTGTTTCTGAGTGTGCTTCGTGCTTTGATCGCATACGCCTGGCTGGCAGTTTCCGATTGCCTGCGACGATATTGCTTCAGTCTGTGTTGCTGTCGCGTCTTTTTTACCCGAAAGCACCTACTAAGAGGTCTCCTTCAAGAACGGCTGCCAAGGTCAACGGTCCAACCATGATGTTGATGAGGATGATGATGATGATGATGATGATGATGATGATGATGATGATGATGCATCATCTCATCATCATTGTCGTCATCCTCCTCCGCATCATCATCATCATCATCGTCGTCGTCATCATCTTCTTTTCTTTCTTTCTTTCTTTATTTATTTATTTCTTTATTTATTTATTTTTTATTATCTATTTAAAATCTATTTATGTATTTCTCTCTTTCATTCTCTCTCTCTCTCTCTTTCTTTACGCTCTTCCGTGGCGTATGAAGATCTGCGTAGACCTTGACTTCGCGTCAACGTGATCCGCTCCACTGCTTCGTTAAGCCAGCAGGGAGTCTTGGCGCACTTTAATGGCTCTCCGGTCCAGTGGGAGAGCAAGCAGCAGCCCTTTGCGACTTTGTCCAGTGCTGAGGCCGAACTCATGCGCTATGCCGGTGGCGTGGTCTTTTGAGAGTCTGTCGTCGAGGATTGGGGCGTTGGTGATTCCTTGGGCGCCTCCTTCTTGGTCTTCCCGTCCCTTTTCCTTTTCCATTCTTTCGGAGGAGGATTGGTGTTCGACGCGATGGACTTCCATCCAGGCATGTAGAGCTTGCGTCACTGCCTTGACCTCCTGGTCCTCTTCCATGATGGCCGTGGTGCGAGGTCACAAGCAAAGCTGAGAGCTGGAGCAAGACACAGCGCTCAGTCATTCAGTGGCTGCTGCAGTAGCGTGCGTCGAGCACACGGAGCGTTCTTTTGGTACGGAGTTGATACGCGCGCAGGTTCTGGAAGCACAGAGCTCCCCTGTTGCAAGGTTTTGCGTGATGACGCGAAAGATGTATTCTCATTTCTTGGGGGTCTGCAGCGCAAGGTCTGACAGAGCTCTTGGTGTTTGAGCGTGTGTTGAAATTGCTCCTTGCCAGCCAAGTATCCACTTCAGGAAAGGTCATGAGTCATCGCCAGAGATGGATTCGGCGCCGCGAGATCTAGTTTGAGAGCGTTGAGGCTCCATTCAGATTGGTGAGGTCATGGTGCGCAAAGGGAGCCAACTATGAGCGTGCAGAGACATGTTCTCCTTTAATGGGGCGCGTGCAAGAGCGTTTGGAGTTCCGCAAAGCATTGGCCATTCTGCATATCTGGCCAAGTCCCTCCAAGTTCGTCCATGCTCTTCGTTGATGTTTCAGAAGGGAGGCTAAGGATTGTGACTGACGATTGCAAAAGCCACAGGTCTGACCAAGGCGGCGTGTCAGTGCTTTGTGGGGCGAGCACACATCTACGGGTGAGAAAGTTGCAGAGACTTTATTGATCATCTCGTAGAAGTTGAAGATCACCTGCGCCGAAGATGTCCAAGAGGCACCTTCTGGCTGATGTCAGTTTGGTTGATGAGGCCTTGGATTCGTGGAAATCAGGACAGGAAAAGCTGCTTATATGATGAGCCAAGTTGGACCATCATGCAAATGGTTAAGCCCGCCTTTGCAGAGGAAGCGGTAGTTGGAGCGTACTCGTGTAGAAATTTTCCAATGCATCTATGGAGTGTTGTAGTATTGTCAGATCACTAGACAAGGTCTGTCGCAAAGGTTTGGGGCTGTTGTCCAGCCATCCGGGCTCTGAGGTGGTGGACCGGATGTGTCCACTGGTGTTGGCGGAGGAGTCTTTGTGTGTGCGGTGTGAAATGAAAGGGTGGTTTGCAACAACGAATCAAAGTTGGGATAGCATAGTCTTGCTGAAATTCATAATGGTTCTTTGATCCACCCCGGCTGCCTCCAGCCCATAGAGGGCAATAAGAAACACACAGGTTTGCCACGTGTCCACCTTCTGATTTTGTGATTTTGCGACCAAAGTTTCTTCTTGAACCACGGTCTCGTCTGCCTGAAACGTACAGTGCATTGCTGTAAGCTTCTTGGCGTGGTTCCTTTAAGCGTGTGTTTTTAAGGCGTTTGCGCTCCCAGGTAGGTCTGTTGATCCTGTAAAGGAGTTTCATACATCTTGAAACTGTGTCCAGGAAGACAAAGCACATGGTAATTGATCTTCTTTTTGATGAAGCGTCGTTTCAGTTGCTGGGTTTCCTTCTCATGTAGTGTGAGAAGCGCCGTTGATTTTGTCGTATTGATGGTCATCAATGGCTCAAGCGCAGAGATCGCACTGCCCAAGTATCAAATACCTTGTTCAAAAACGTGTCGGTCAGTGAGGATGAAGCTGGCGTGACCATCATCGGCGTAGAATGTGCAGTGCTGACATCCACTCCGGTGTGGTGTGATTGGCTATGTGTTCCAAAATCAAAGCAACAAAACAGCTCCACAAGAAAGGTGCACCGCAACTGCCCTGTCTGCCGTGTAATCCTCTTGACGGGCAACCAGAAGTTGAAGACCGCGGCGAGGGCCCCCGTCGATTACAGGAACTTCGCCCTTCTCGCACGAGCTCTTCGTTCACCTCTTCTGAGGCCTTCTCCTCTTGAAATACCTGTGCCGCCTGAGCAGGTCTACTTGGACTTGGCAACATGGCAGGAAGGCGTGTGTGTTGCCAAGCGCCCTGTGAGATTCATTTTCTAGTCGCGGAATTACTCATCTCAGTCCCACCATGTGGAGTGCAGGTGAGCCAGAGGAGGCATACGTTGTCATGCGCAACAGCAGGCAGAGCTGTGCACATTTGGGGCTCTTTTGTCATCGTCGTAGACCCACCTGTGGCTGCCCTCCTTGATTGCCGCGCAGTAGTGGCCGCTAGAGGCTTCCTGCACCACATGGTAGGAGACTAGGAGAGAGCGCAGCGTGCGCACGTGTCAGGTCTGCAGGCTCCACAAGTGCATGAAGGGCAAATGAGGCCATGGTCTTGGCGGTCACGAGGCTCTGAAGGTCGGCGCTGATCGGGCTTTTTGCCACCGCAAACATGCAGACGCACAGTGCGCTTGCCCTGTTGCGGGGGTTGGAACAGAAGTTGTCTGCTGCGCACTGCGAAGGTTCTTTGAATGACTGGTAAGTCCAACTGCACGTTTCTGTGCGTCCATGGGGCAACGATCGACTGCTACCTGCTGTGGCCGCGACTTGCTACGCCTCCGCCCTGCTCGAAGAGAACGTTGTGCTGCGGTGAGAAGAGCGCTGCGTGATTATGGACCAGGTTCGCGCTATTATGCTCATCATCATCATCATCGTCATCATCCTCATCGTCATCATCAGCGTCATCGTCGTCATCATCGTCGTCGCAACCCTCATCGCAATCATTTTCCTGGCGCTCTTTCATCTCCTTGTGTTGGTCTTTTTGCGTAAGGCTGAGGGCAGTCTCCGGCGCCGCAGGATGTTTCGGAGCGCCTTACGTCTCCGTCGCAAAGACTTCTACGCGCCGCAAAACCCTTTGTACGCAACGTGTTGCGCGTTCTTAGCTGGGCGCATCCCTGCCGGCAGCAGGTATTGTGCACGTGGTGTGCTTTCTGTCTCTGTTGCAAAGCAGTCTTTCCACGCAGGGCCGCAGTGCAGTACGCGCAAACATGCATGAGCAAAATTACGACGGTCTATATCGTTTTACGCGCAGCAAGGCCACGGCGCTTGCGTACGCCCAGGAATTTTCTTCGCCGGCAACGTGGCTTGTGGTTTGCTTTTGACTCCGTTGCGAAGGTTGCTTACTGCGCAAAATTTGTCTCTGCGCGGCAAACTGCAGGCTAGTCTGGTTTGTTTGCGCAGACAACAGTTTTTGCGCTTGTGATGTTTCTCCTGTCTCTGTTGCGAAGCTTTCTTAGTACGCGGCGCGAAACATGTTTTTATGCGCAGCGCTTACTCATAATTAGTCCATGCACCTGTGTCAGCAACACCTTTTGCAGTTTT